AGAGATCAATATTATTCAGAAACTCCCTTGAAAGTTATTATGATGGAAAGAAAAGTCAATTTACTCATTATAAGTTATATTCAATTGTACATCCGTTTTGATTCAGTGTAATGATTATTCAATGTAGTATTTGTTTTCTTTTCTCGTATGATATTTTCTTTTGTATAATATACGATATTCTTGTATTCCATTGACATGAACTATGCTGAGTAAGTGATTTGTTATAACTCATATATGCGATTTCATCCTAATTATTAATCAAAATGGATGTACAATCAATATATAAATGAGTGTATTTTCTACTAGAGTCGTCGTCGTCATAGTGTTTTGAGGCAAGACTCTAATTTATGGACGACTTTTGAACGAATTTTAAATGACCTTGAGAAATATTAACCAATCAGCGAACAGTCAGTATAGAGTAAAAATATATTATACCAAATCAAGGAAATATAGTGGATACACTTCTTATACGTGGTTCAAAAACTTGTCAAGGTTAGAAAGAGGTTCGGAGGTTCTAATATTGTAATGCATGCAGTAGAGGAAATCATCCATACGACTACAGAATAGTTGGCCTCTAGAGTCATGATAAAGTCTCAAAAACTATTTCAGCCTCGACCATATAGCTTCAATATTGCTTGTGTGCACCCCGGTTGTTGAATTCACAAAATGCTACTTGTGGATAACGACATAATGCACATAACCAAGCCTATGTAGGAGTCTGTACACTCTCCAAACATCCGTATATATTGGAGTACCTGGATGCAGCCAGTGTTACTTGTACTTTTATTATCCAGTTCTCAATAATTGTCATAATTTGCCTTAGTCAGGAATTATATATGGGATTTTCATCACGAACTGACATCAGCTATAATGCCAGAAATTTATTTAGCCAAATGGATGAAAGGCTTTCGCATTAAAATCCGAGATCTATTATCTTATGCCTGATTGATTCGTCCACAAATTATAATCTCGCCATTTTATTTGATATAACCACTCAATTATCACGTTTCGTACAAAATTCCCTGTGAACCGATCGTGCGTTAGCATTAAGCACTGAAGTTGGCGCCGTAACCTTGAAATCCCTAAAACGCTTCGGATTGGCTCGTCCATGAATTAGAGTCTCGCAGTGTTTTTGGGTTAATAAATCATCACTTATACCAGTCTTTGTGTTCTTACTTTCGCGTGGTTGAGATTGCAGAAGTCCCTCATTCCGAGTATAAATGATAAGCGTATCCGATATAACAATCAGCGACGACCAGATACAAAAAGTAACATTAAAAGAGCCAAGACAATCAACACCTAAACGACAAATTCTAACGAAAATCTATACTACCAATATTTTCATGTCTTTAAAATCATGTTCTTTTCATATATTTGATTGTTTTATTATTATTCATTCTGTCCTTGTTAGAGATTTAAATGAATCTCTAGGACTTAACTAAATATGAAACAAATTAATAATCAATTTGATTGGTCCTTGAATATAAAAAAAATAATCATGAATCAAATAACCTTGAAAGGACAAATATAAGTCGATAGAATCAAAATCAAAACTGTCATTTGATTGGTTGATTATTGTCATTATAACTAAAAGATTGTTTCAAGGTTGTTTGTTATTTCAATGAAATAAATTCCAAAATTGTTGTAACGGGTGGACTACAGGTTTTGATAAGCAGCGTTATTCGACCGATTACAGTGACACGGAAAACACGTAGTGAACGATCTAGTGCCCTGATTGGCCTCGCTTCCCTGTCTAGCCCAGCCAGTTGAGTCTAGAACGCAAGTCACAGCCTCTGAGTTATGAATCATTATATTTCAGACATACTCTATTTATATACCAAACAAACAAACCACATCGTACCATAAAATAGAAAACAACATTTACACAATATTTAACAAGTGAAATAAATAACGGCCAATAGGGAATGTCTATTTAGAGTCCAAGGACATCATTAGACTTAACATGATAATGATTGGTATATTCCTCAGCATACCTAACAAAAATGTAATTGAACATTATATCAGATATAAAACAAAATCAAATTTCCACTGAATAGGCGAGTAACTAACATTCATATTGTGTGTATGTGTTTTGTTGTTTATAAAATAACAAAATACAAATATTAGAAAAGAGAGATTTATACTCTATGGATTGATTGATCATTTTTAATCTATAAAAGTGACCAGTGGAATTCAATCGGGTCTGTTATGAGATAGGAACTCACTAAAGACAGTGGTAGATGTATCACTCAGTTTTGTGGATTATTTGAAGTTAGACATTAACACCGTTGGATGTCAACCAGCTCAGTAGTCTAGTTGGTTAAGCGCTCGCATGCGAGACTGATTGATCTTGAGTTCGAATCTCACGAGGTGGGATCGTGGCAGTGCTGCAGGAATCACAATAGGATGAAATGGTCATCCAGTGCTTCCATGTTTTCCATGGTGGTCTAACTTCAATTGACTCATGATCTCAACTAATAAAATAACTATAATATCCCTCTAACCCCTTCTGATACTAATCATAAATGATTTTCATAGAAAAAATTATAGATCCGTTAAGTATCAGTTTAATCAATTGAATCCAATTGTTTATTTATAGTGAAATGTTATTTACTAGTAATATCTAATTCAATAATTGATTGTGATTCATTTTCAATTAGATGTGCCTTATATTTCATTATTAATATAGAAAACAATTGTGAATATTTTTACTAACTCAGTAGGCTTAGAAAATTGTAAAGAATCATGTGAATATTCTATTAAATGAAGAGGAGTTCAAGATTACTTTAACATAATCACACACTCACTCTCTATATGTATGAGTGATATTTTATCTGTCATCAAGAAAAAAGAAGCTATTTCCGTAATTATACAACAATTTTAAATCAAGGTGAAAGTGTGGCGCGTGCTACTTATGTTTGATATAAGTAGTATATGACGCAAGTCATGAATGTAATGTCTGGCAGCAGATGATGGAGGAAGATCAAGAAAGAAAGAGCGGGAATAGAAAGCAATTAGTATGGAAATGCAAGAACAATGAAGTTCGAGACAATTATTGAACAGTTTGCAAATTAAGTATTATAGTATGGTTTTTCTATATTTCACCAAGTAACTCTGTAATGTTGTTCTAAATATAATTCGGTTGTCCTCACCTGTGTTCTCCTTCACTACAAGAGGACTATCATTTGAAATAATAATTGTGCTTGGAGAATAAAAACAAGTATATTGTAACTAATGTGTTGTAGATAATGGAAATATATGAGTTGGTATATAACTTAATTATTTAGACAGAGGGTAATCAATGGCTTAAATATACTTTAATAAAGCTTAGCCAATCTAAAAATAAAGATTAATATACAGAAAATCCTTATAGGCTATTAGATAATGGTTATTATTAGCTTGAAATATATAAACTAACAAATAGTCTGATATATACTACCCTTAATTTTTAAACCATAAGTTTTACATAATACAGTGAAATCATTATTTTATTTCAATGAATTTAAAATGACTGATCTAAGACACATTCATTGCTCTTGTGGAGCAAGGTACATTGACCGTAGCCAGCGCTCGCTTTCAACTCGGATACGAGAACATATCCCAGCTTGGTTCTATAAGGGTGAAAGGAAAGCAGCTAGGAGTTCTATACTTGAACACCTAATCGACTGTAACCATTCTACAGATCCACAATTTGATTTTAAGGTTGTTTATATGATTCTTTCAAATCTACCCAGATTTCTTCGTATCCAACTCTTAAAAATACCTGAAGCTCTTACAATCCAGGAGCTTATACCAGAACTATGCGTACGAAAGAAGTACATCTTATCATTATCGTTACCTTGACCTTAATTATTTTGATTATCCTGTTGTTATTATTATTACTGCATTCTCTCTTTACTTATGTCTTATATTTTCATTATTTTATTCGTAAATGCTCATCATATCACCTTACTTATTTTTACACCTCTATGACCAATAATACACATTTCTAGCTTAAACCCATTCTTTATATAATACGACGATCATACAACACCGTTGATTATGATTATTTCATTGGCGTCATATTTGAGCATAACCGATTGCGATTCTCCACTAAAATTCTAGAAGTAAATCTCTACTGACCAGACTGTTATAGTATTATGATCAAAGGTTTTCGCAGAGATTGATTAATTTGTCATAGATTACTACAAATCAACACAATCTATATAATACTTATCCATCAACATTACATAATACATTCCAATTTGATGCTCATTTATATTAGGGAAATTCCAATTTATAAAACCATTGTGGGTCGTAATCATTGGTTGAAACAAGTGATTGTGCAATTACACGATACAAATAGGGTTTCTCGTATGATATTCTAAAGGCTTTGGGTGTATTTACTATCCACCAGGTGCTTAATATCCGTACTTGCAATGTCTCAGTTTTATTTCAGGCATAGGGTTTTGAAGTTATTTCTAAAAGTCTTTGTATGACCTCAAGTCTCATTTCAACGATACTTTTTATCTGTAAATATTCCTTATATTAATTTACACTACTTAGTCAAAGTACTTAGACAGAATAATGCGTACTCTCTCGTTATGTCCACTTGAGTGGATACTTACTTTCTTAGTCCTCTATAATCAGTTTGAAGGGATAAACTTGATATTATGAGACTTGTTTCATGTTGATCCCTAGTAATATAATCATTAGGACAATCGGACATCAATCTGATCTCGAAACAGGTGTCATTCTTGTTAAGTCCCATGCAATCTATGCACAAAACTAGTATTATCAAGCAGTTTGTCGGTCACAAATGACCGAGACCTCATGCTGGGTTTCAAAATATCTATGCAATTTGTTACAACCGACAGCCTGAATTAACATATACAGCAACCCAGATATTACTTTGTTTATTGGTGTCCACTTTTAGAAATATAACTGCGAAGTTAGAAAACCGATCCAGCACTTCAGAACTCATTTGGTCTTATTGTCATTTCGACCAATATACTTCGCCCCTTGTTTTTAGTCTACAGCATTGTATTCGATAGGTGATGTACGTTGACCCGTGTAAACTAAGTAGTGGATAGCCAAGAAACCTAAGTCGTAGTGTTTTAATTGCGACTTAACCTGAAGTACCTATGGGATGACAGCCATGTTCGTCGAGGCTTGGTATCATGATCCGTGGACTTCAGCCCAAGAGCTCTAGGTGACTACACGCGAACGAACTCCATCACAGATTGCCAGAAACCTTATACGCAAGACCCACAAGTACGACTCACGGACGCAAACTCAAGGGCATAGCCGTAGTCTTCTAAGACCCTATCCCTGTTTAGCTTGTGCAATCGTCTCACTGCTGTCTGTTGGTACACTGAAGCAAAATAACTACGCCACCCTAGAGAGCTTTAGGAGAATTTTGGGCCCCTTAAGGCGTTAGTATTCGACTGGATCTAGGACATTTCGCACAACTACTGAGAGTTCACCTTTCGTGTCTGAGGTACATCACACATAGGTACTAGTTAAGCACAGCCCAAACACCTAGCACGCTTAGCAGCGATATACCCCTACAAACGATGGAACTAAGTTCTTTTTAACTTCTCGAAACACCAAAACTACATCAATCTACCAAAATGAATTACCAGTTGAGTCTTGGTGCATGGGCTTAGAAATTCATGCTCATTTTTTAAACGTTATCTAGACTATGCAGGTCAGACAAGCAAGTAATAGACTGATTATTAAGATGACAATTCAATTTATAATGATTAAAACCCAACAAATATGGATAGATTTTAGTTAAAAAGATGTTTCGAAAATTTTAACAATGTAATAAAGTATTACAAATGAGTAAATGCATTAGCTAACACTGAATTATGTGTTGTCGAAAAAAAATGTCAGCAAATGTACTGTACAAATACATAGTTCATTTTGGGTGAATTTGTGGTTAAACATAAAATGATGAACATGAACATAACATATACAATAGGAATTTGGCCTAAATAAGAACAATGAAGTTTATATCAACTGTCTAATCATCCGCAGTTGATCCGTTTTCAACGTGAGTCTCCACACGATCTTCAACGTGCTTATGCTTAGTTCCACAGTGCTCCGCTTTATCCCCATTTTTTCCATCTTGAATGTCATCATGACGCCGCTTGGTGCCTGGACGTCGAGGTCCACTCACGTTGGCAGCCGAAAGGTTAGCTCCGTTGTCTTCCTCTACCTCGTCTTCATCTTCATCATCCACATCGTCGTAATCATCTAATTCCGCTTCCTCATCTTCGCCTATAAGAGAGAACAAAAAACGTCGAGTTAATATGAGTGGGTATCGCAAGAAATTAAGCAGTTAAGAACAATACTTACCTGGAGCATAGTCATCCTCATCATCTTCAAGTTCACCACTTTGTTGAAGGGCTTCAATGCCAATTTCGTCGTCACATTCGTCTTCCTCGTCAGATCCTTCATCATCCTCTTCATCAGCTTCATCGACACCGTCCGCTACATCAAAATAATTAAATAAGATGTAAGGTTAACTTCTAAAATGCTTTTTTGTCGAGGAAATAGATTTTTACTTGTCTATTGATTTACTTAGTTAAACAAGAACTGGACATCCATGTGCTGTCATCTAAAAAAGCCCAGTAACTATTAACAAAAAGAGCGAAATAGATGAAAGCCAGAAGTACTTAATAGAATGTCATCAGCAGTGCAAGCGATTCATGGAAGACAACCGAGGAACGTCCGAAAACTACTTTATTCGCTAGATTTCTTAACTCCTACTACCAACTTCTAATCTAAAAACTTTGTCCACACGTCTAACTTGTTAACAAAATCTACCTAGAGTCTCATTATGCGTTTAGAACCACATGTTGAAGCTTAGTGTTTGCCATGAACAGGAATGAAGTGTGATCATCCATTTGACCAGTCTCTATCTACCCTTAATGTTTCAACGACACCAGGACTGCCGCCTCAGTGTCAGAACTTCACGAGAAGGCGGGCGTCAACTCATGACACCGAGGCGCACCAAAATATAACAGGTTCTTTAAAAGTCTATATCTATATTCACATCCTTGAAATATTGCCCTTTACACACACATTTTGGACCTAGTTCATGTCACGGCAATGCAATAAACCACACATCTTGGAACTTAGAGAAAAGCTATTTATTCATATCCAGAAAGTAGATTCTATGTAGGCCTTCGAAGTGAGTGTAATGAGACAACCATTTACAAATCACAATGACAAAAACAGAGAAACAGAAATGTAGAAGGCCGAAAGCGAGGACCATTAACGAGAATGTTTCCGAAGTAATAACTAATAACGATAGCTTTGTTCCAAAAACGTCTTTCGGACACATAGTAGACCGAATGCATACTGGGATTGACAATTTACAAGACTGAAGACATGAATGAGTACATCAATTTGACTACACAAACCGAGAAACTGAACATAGAGCAACGAACGCTATACGCATGGGTAACCAAGCCAGACACAAAACCGTCCTGAGCACTCGCGTTTCTAATTAAACACTTAAATGCCCGAATCAATTGGTTGACTGAACAGTATGGATCGCTTACGGGTAAAACTTTACAATAAACTGTGGCATACGAACATATCAAGACAAAAGGTTTGACTTACCCTCTTCATCAAGACCTCCATTCAGAAAATCGTTTCCAAACACTTCTTCCTCGTTGTTCCTGAATCATGAGTTAAATCTAAGTATATGGACTTACTCATCAAGACCGTCCAAATACTTTAAAGAGGGAATCATCGCAAAAGCCTTTTTACGGTAATTTTCCGTAGCGGTGACAGGACAGTTCCCGAGGTCCAAACTCTTGAGTTCGGACAGCTTAGCCAGTGGAATCAATACATCCATTGATTCAATCTTATTGCTACTTAGATTAAGTTGCTCAATGTTGGGACATTTGAGCAGAGCGTCAAGACCGCCAGATATCAAATTATTCGACAACTCAAGCTTAGAAAGCATAATTTAGTCTAGTCCAACTTACATTTTTTAAGCTGGCAAGACAAGGCAAACCAGCCAAACTTTGAAGACCAACGTTCATCATGCTCAAGACCTCTAAGGACGAATATTCATCCGTGAGACCTTCGATATCCACGGATTTTGAGTTGTCCAAATTCAGCTCCGTGATCTAATGCACATCAAGAACTGAATGCCAACCTACTTCTCCTGGTTCCCGTTTTCCTCGCTCCAACTCAATGCGCTGCAACAAAGTCATGTATGTCATAATTCGAAACAATGAACAAAAACTAAGAGGAGTAATGGCCGTCCCAGGAAGCAGTTTTCTGTGCAGACAAACAAAGAGGTGGTACAAACAAAAGATTGTTTAGTACTTTGTGATGCAGCTCCACATACTTTTTAAATGCGAATATTAAAGCATGCAAGTATTTTTCAAGAAATATAACTGTTTTTGGTGTACCTCAGTATTAATTGAACATCAATTATTCGGGGTCCCCAGTAGTTCCATTTAGACGAGGGCATGAAAGAGGAGTTTAACCTCACATAACTTTAAAAAGCAACTAAGGCTCCAGAAATATACTCCTGTTAACTGTCATATAGAATATTCGTTTACAGTCAGATGAGAGTTGTTTAAAAATTACTGCGGTTTGAAGAAAACAATATCCCTTGTTAGTGCATTCAAGAAGACCTATGGGAAAACAAACTCTTAACGGTGATGAATCTATGAGTTAAAATGGCATGATAGCCTTTGGTGTACAAAGAATTGCAGTCTTTAGGACTAACGAAACCTCACCAGGATATGATGATGGACAAGAATGTTTCCCTTTATTATGTTCTACTACGAACTACACATGCATCAGTCAACCTGGCTTGATAAGAATAGATCCAGTGAAAATGGATGTATGAGTGCCAGGAAACGGAGTTTCCTAATAATAGCTTTCGTGTTCCAACTTCATTGAAACCAGTGAAGTGAACACCCTGAATAAACTATGTCGAGCGCCTACTTTCGTCAAAGGTGAGAGAATGGACAGAGAGACCTGCTAAGGAAATCCGGTAATTATTGACAGTGAATCTCGGAAAATTTTACGGCTGTGACAATATATGTCGGGCTTTCCTAATGAAATGAACGGATGTCCTGTCATCCATTGAATAACTTAATCTAATACTCAATATATTTGAAGGATTCCTTTGTTACTTGAATACTAGACCCAAGTAGAATACATTTTTATGTACCTGTAATGATGTGTGAGAAAGTATCTTCATGTATGTCTTCCACTTGTTCTTCTCTTACATGATTTATTTCTTTAGTTTTTGACTATATTTACTCATATTTTATATCTTTTTGATTCGTTTGGAACTATTAGTTCTATATTGTTTGCGATTTCTTAAGTGTGGCCAACACTTGGGTGTTCTTAGAGTTTCGACCGATTTTTCCTCGTACTATAGCTTAACGTTTTCGAGAACTTTAGCGGTGGCTACATAGAAAACTATCCTCTTTGACTGGTACTGCTCGACCTGCTACTAGTTTCTGTCCTAGTTGAAAAGAAACTGTATTATCCTGACTGTAGGCAAGAAATATTGTTTCGAACATTGACTGAATAGGACTAAGTTCTTAGCCAATATAAATGCACTTATCCATACCACTAGAATAGTAAACCTAATCTAAAATTGTTAACCCATTAAAATGTGACTACCTAGTGTGTAAAATCACATACCAGAACCAAATCATTATATATGCTGACTCGTTCTCTCGTATCATCGGTAATGTTTGTAATAGCCTTTGGAAAACACATCTAGACTGGGGATAGCATAATATATTTGACATGAAGACTATGAAGTTACATAGAGTGACTATAACACCTTAGGTTGGTTGGTTAGGAGTTGGCTGCAGACATCTTAGTAGCGTCAAAACATAATAGCTGAAGTATTCATTTACTTCCTTACTTTGCGTAGGAATTATATTTCCCACTATCTTACATTAAATGTTGAAAACTATGTTTGAAAAAGAGAACCTATCACTCCAGTTGTTTCGCTTTACCATCTAAATGATTACCTATTCTGCCACTAGTCTGGTCTCTTCTATTGATAAAGCGAGGAGTATACATCGACACGAAGTGGATACCCCTACATGGCCGAACGATGTCGCCAATGCCAGTACGACTGCTTGTTCTTCAAATTCTTTGAACCATTTCGATCTTATTTTTTTCCGGATAGAACCGTGCTTTTGACTGTCAAGGCACCTGTTTTTGACTTGTCAAATCTATGTGTGAGATTTTTTATTCTGTGGCTTTTCCTTTCAGTGAAAATATCGTTTAGTACAACATGCAATACCATTTTTATATGGCTTTCCACGTTATCATACAGAAAATGTTGTCCAATAGCGTTTGCAAAATACTTGAATAGGGATGCACGACTGAGAAATTTTTTGGACAGTGGAACTGAATTTATTGTGGCTCCCGTATACAATAACCTAATTTGCATTCGTGAATTTCCCATGATGTGACTGTCGGATTCGTATAATCCTACGTGAAGATTACATCATTGTCCATGGTATCAATCAGTGCTGTTGTCTGTAAGATTCTTCGAAGAACAATTTCTGGCCTACTGACATTTTCATTAGTCTACTTCTGATTGTTTCTCCGTATTATCAAGGAGTCTGCCAAATTGTTCCAGCGCTGGCCCTTTTTAACTTTCTTTCTTTTTCGTCATGTATTTAAACCCTCGACTGGATCTTCTAAGTTGTTGTTTATTTATTTTCAGAGATGATTTATAGTGTTTCATTGTTATTCGATTGTCACTGAAGATTTATAGGACGTCTTAAAAATTTAATTTTACTGAGACAACATACACACAACAACAGTTCTAAGCATAACCCCCGAAAATGCCAAACTATGTTCTTTTATAGCTCGAAAAGAAAGGGAATATCTATTTCCTCTGGGTCTCTTCAGATGGTCGACGTGGTGTCTTTAGTGCTTGAACGGGATTTCGGTTCACTTTTTATCCGAGCAGTAAGTCACGGGTGGATCAATTTTACTGATTTCAGTAGCGAACTAGGTAAAAATTCTAACGCAATATGAAAGCTCTTAAATTCGGTTTTTGAACTCTTTGCATTTTGAACTGTATTTAAGCGTTTATTTAGGATTTAATTTTTAATTCCTATAATCTATTCCTCTGGATTACTTTTGTTCTAATTTGAATTACAGTTGACATAACTGTGTGAAACGATGATATGCTACAGAACCGAGGAGTGGGAGGTTAAAAGCGAGCAAACAAATTAAAATACTAGCTTCCCAGAACTGTTCTTCAACTGTTTGGTGCTAGCGAGGATCAGTGTGATCAAAGTAGTGTCAGCAGAATGTGTTTTGACAGGCTTAGTTTTGCTAAAGACCCTCAAATCGATGAAGGATTTTGTGAAGTACAAGTTGATAGGCGAGCTCACGTTAATACATTTAAACAAAAGACAAACAATTCAACTACTTTTAAAGATTGCGAGTTTTGTCAAATTAGTCACAAAGCGACATTGTACGGAGTTATCGAAAATGAATGTTATGAAAAGGAGATGGGTAGGAAGAAGACGAGATTTATGCTATCTGTGTTTGAAAAAGGGTCGTAATGCTAGATCATATATTTCGGGATTTAATTATGACTTTGAAAGCTGCAAGATTCAGCATCATCCAATGCTACATATTGGTGGTGGTGACAACCATATGGTGAATTTAGCTAAAGATTAGAACTCATTGAACGTTTCTTCGGGTACTGATCAGGTCAAGCTGTATGATTGTGAAAAAATTCCGGAAACTTACACCATTTTAAATAGTTGTTCTGACACATCTGTCGTATGCGAAGAAATACTCAATCATTTGGGTCTCGAAAACAAAGTAGCCTTGATAAACGTAATATCTGAGAATGGCACTATTGCCCGTAAAAGTTTGAAGGTAATTTTATAAATATTTTTCAATGACAGTGAATCTGTAAGGATTATTCAAGCCTATACAATCAAGAAGAACACTCAACCAAACAACAGTTGGCACTATAAACAAAGGCGGATGGTGGCTAGCACTGGAATCCAGGACGCGTGTTTCGTCTTATTTGGGACGCGTAAGATGAATTTACTTGCATTCCGGGGTCTATGGTCACCCCAGGACTCCATCGCAGCCCCATTCACTTCAAACGCCTTCACGTTATCCACTTAGCTACTGAGTCCTGACAGCCATTTGCCTGTACAATGGGGTGAAGTTTAAATTCATTTGGTATTGTTTGTCTGAATCTTCCCATTGACGTTTAGGACTTCAATTTGGCAGTCCCTTATTGGAGTGTGTACATCCTGTGCTGATTGCCTCGACATTGCCCTACGTCACAAGCATTATAAGCAAGGATGCCAATTAGAGACTGAACAATTGCAGTCTCAAACATCAATGGGAAGATTCGGACAAACAATACCAAATGAACTAAACAGTTAGAACTGTTGAGGCACTTAAAAGATATAATTTTTTTCGAGGTTTCGGAGCAACTAAATAGACATCTTGACTGGATGTGGTGCTTCAAACACACACTCTGCATGTGAAGAACGTCTGGGAGGTAGGAAACATCCGTTTGGTTTGCATACGCATCGCGGTTGGATGTTTATGGGTTCCAAATGAGAAAATAGATCAGTTCATCAAGTTCGGTTGTGTAATTTTACCCTCAGCTCACTATATTGTACAGAATCTTGGAAGATTACGTAATCATGAGTTCGAGAATTTAGATATGTTTCGTAAGGAACGTTCTACCTAAGATAAGAGAGCTTTGAAACTAGTCATTAACCCCTTTGGTCAATTGGATGGTTATTTTCTAATGGGTTTACCTTGAAAGTATGGCAATCCAAGGACATCGAACAATTTTTAAACTGTCAGACATAGCATAAACTTTTTAAAAAAGAGGTCCATGAAGGATAATAGCCTCCTGAAAAATATACTCAGCTGTAGTGAATAAACGTTTTAGTAAATGTTATATCATCGAAGCTAGTAAGGTGGGATTTGACTGGAGAGAAGTTTGTTGGCATATTCTTCATCATCCTGTTATCAACACTGAAAAGGTAAGAAAGTTGGAAATTCCTTTTAGCTGCACGGCTGTTCATCAAGATTCCTCCCAGTGATCAGGTCTTGAGGGGACAGAATATTCTAAATAGTTGGGCTGGTGTTCACACAAGGTGATATCGCATTAGTGGTTGGTATCAAAGAGATGCTTCTTCCATTAAGGATCACTTAGCGAGATATGGGGTGTTTCGTCTGCTGTGGCTTATGGAAGGTGACATAAGACGGGAAGTTAGGGAATATGGTAT